CATCCACTGGGAGCCGCCGCTGGTCGGGCTGAAAATGAGACGCCATCAAAAGTCCGCTGCTTAATAAAGACACAAAGACATGAAAGGACCTTGGGCCGCTTTATGCGGAGGTCTTCTGGTGTAAGAGGATGCTAATGGGAAGTGACGAGCTCTAACTTTGTTCTTCTGCGAGTGTTGGATCAACTTTTTGTGCTGTTCTAACAACAAACTATTTAAACCCTTTGAATGTCCCCACGCTATCATATGCCGTCTACAGCAGCGCCGTACGAGAAAAAGCCCAAAGTTGTTTGATTAATATCTGGAGCTAGAAGCATAAAAAATTTAGAACAAATAGAAGCGGTACGAGGACATTAATTTAATACATATTCAGTACAATAGGTTCTCCACAAATCCTTCTGATCTACAGAGGCTCTTTAGCCCAGACCGTATTTCATCCCTGTAGGCAAATGTGGCCAAACAGAATATATTTTTTCATGGATATTCATAAGCAATTGATCTTCCGCTGTGCGATTACCTAATATGAACCTGATCCAAAGCCTTCTGAAGGACCTGGAAAGATTTCCAATAGACAGCCTGCTGCTGCCTAAGGGGCCGGTGCCCAAGGTGCCGTCCCCAGTGAGATGCAGGCAGAAGCCAACGCTGGGCTGGGACTGAAGTGGAAGGCCCCAGGACACAGCCCTGCATGTGAACGTCACTGTCACCTGGCCAAGAGGCGGAGGGGACCTTCGCTGCCTCAGCTAGCGATGCCTTCCTGCAGCGTGCACCTGACAGCACTCCTCAGAGCCAGGAGCTGCTGGGAAACGGGCTGGGGAGCCAGGCTGAGAATACTTTGACAGTAACAAGAGTCAGCCTTAACGTGAAATAACTCATTTATCAATTAAAAGGGATGAAAATTAAAAGGGTTTGGGTCAGTTCAGGTCACTTCATGCATTTTTCATCAGGAGTAAGAATTTTCATGATGCACATAAACAGTCTCAGGTACTCAACTGCATTTTTCACTATGGCAGATGGAGCACGAGAAACACTATCATTTTAAATTCCATATGTTAAATTAAATTGATATTAGGGTGTTGTTTTTTTTTAGTATATTAAAAATATTTTGTTCTCAGCTAGTGGTTATTTTACAAGCTACAGACCACAATCTACAAAGGTTAAATTATCAGCACCTTGCAGCACCATTCCCATCCACTAGCCTGACTGCCCACCTAGTGACAGAAGAGGATTTCACTTGCACATTTAATTTATGGCAACATCCCATCTTTAGGGCACTTTCTGCACAGCTGTCCACATTTAAGACAAAAACCTGAAGACTTCCACTGCATCCTGCATTGCCATACCCCATGGCCACACTCCCCATCTCCCCCAGTGCTGCCTCCTGTCCCAGACTTGTCCTCTGTGATCTCAGGGAGGAGGGGAGGTTGGTCAAGTGCCAAGGATGGGAGACAGGGTGTGAAGAAAAATCACAGCTCCTCAGGAGCACCATGGTGGCTTTCCTGGTAGAAAGGCAGAATTTGTTTTCAGGATATGATGATTCACGTTTTACAGAAGAACACACAAAAATATTTCCTTCTCAAGTTTGTTTGCTTGTGAACAATTCTTCTTGCTAAAACAAAAAAAAAAAGAAACCATCCAGTCATCCTGACACCTCTGCAACGATAGAGAATTCAACCTTGCAGAATGTAATTGCCCAATGAAGAATTTTGCCAGGATACCAAGATAAATGTAATTACTTACATTATGCGTGTTAATGATTTATGAACTACAGGTGTCTGCCTGGTTTTACAGCTCACTAGAAAGCCAACAGTTTCACTAGACATGGCTCCAGTAAGCCACGCCGGACGCTGCTGTAACCACCCCAAGTCTGAAACTAAGCCGAAGAAAATCAGTGGAAAGCCAGCTGCTGATGTCCAGTAAAAGGGAAAAACAAATAAAGAGCAATAGCTGCTATGTAGGGATTAACACCTTCTGCATAAAGGAACACCTCTGCCATTGCCAAGAGATCTTCAGTAGGAAGACCTGCAGACAGAGCTCACCAACATTAGTTACCACGAATTCCTGACCTTAACACAAACTACCTGTGTCACACCATGCAACTAAAAGCATAAACAACAAGCTGCTGCAGCTTTGTTGGCAGAGCAATGTGCAGCAATGCAATAGGCAGCAGCACAGGAGCTCCATCTGCACCTGCTGGTGGTTATCGATCAACACGACAAGGAGCGCCGGCCTTACTGCCAGACAATAACTATATCCCTACAAACCACTGATGGGCTAAACAAGCTATTAATGACAGGTTGCTCTCCATCATTTAAAACGGACTGACGCTGCTGCTTGACCACAAGGACAAGGAGGTTATTGCCTTGGAATGTTATACAAAAGACACAAATAAGATAGCTCTGCTGAAGAAACCACACGCACGGCTACGCAGTCCAATTTCAATGGAGTTACCAACAGAAAACAGAGCTGCAAACAGTTTCCTGCTCCAAGGTTTCTAAAGGTTGTTAAATTAGCAATGTATAATTCAGCAAACAAGCAAGCACCAGCAGCTCCTCCAGTTGGTGTTCTGAAGGAATCCATCAAGAGGGTGGTGAGGCCTCGGCACTGCATCCCAGAGCTGTGTGTGCCCATCCTCCCAGTGGCTTTGGGCACCAGGTCTATGGTAGGTGTCCCTCCTCAAGGATGGAGTTGGCACAGGATGGACTTTAAGGCCCCTCCCAGCCCAACCAGCCCACAGCCCCTGGATTTGCACACTTACTGACACCAACAGCCACATGAACTTCGTGAAGTTCTCTGGTCTACTGAGAAAGGAGTTGTTTATGAAAGCATGTTTTGGCACTGAAAGTATTCCCAAATAACAACTTGCAAAATATTCACCAAATTTTTGAAAAGCAGCCATGTGTAGCTAGATGCTAAACACCCAGATGGCAGATGCCATTAGGCACATGTGAGCAGTAAGACAGGCTGCAATCCAGCAAACAGTACCTGTAAAATGCAATGAGAAAGCACATCCCATTTTAAATAAAAGATTAAGTAGATTTATAATAAGTAGATTTATAATCAATAACTAGACTCTTGTTTCCATTGCCAACCGTGAGGAAAAAAAAGGAGAAAACCAATTTCTTACAGGTATTTGGAGATGCAGAAAGGTGAAGTAAAAGAACTAAAGCAATAGTGTGGCTTAATTCTTCTGAGAAACGTCCCCATAATTTACTGGAGTTCAAAGGTCTTTCTGAACTTGTCTGCCATAACATTGAGATGTGAAAGTTTCCTGCATGAATCCTCCCATTCGCAGGTGCCTCGGGAAACAGTTCATTTCCTTGAGCACCCGTTCCCAGGATGGATTTTCTGAGATCACAGGGAAAGGGAAAAAAAGTCTTAAAGACCTGGAGGTTTTCGACAGATCTTTCACAGCAGTACAAAGCAGCTAATGTATTTCATGGCAATGACATTATTCAAGCATACAGCGAGTTACCGTGTCAAAGAACTTCAGGTTCCATTACTCTGCAGAGCTTCTTTCCAGCACATTTTCCCCCGAATCCCTGTGAAACTCAGGTCACGAGCAGGCAGAAATCCTGGCCCACCCTCCCCTGCCCCACTCTGCTCGGAAACCACAGACCTCCTCCTCCCAAACCCGCAGGTTTGAGGTGACGTTATAAATCAGACCCGCAGCTCCAGCTACTGCAGCACTCCCAATTTAGAAGAAGTACCAGTCACGGTCATCTGTCAAGACTACAGCATCTTTATAATGCATTAGAAAAATTCTCTGAACCCATCAGATTACAACGACCTGACACCAGCAGAGGAATGAAACATTTTAAAAATTTATTTAAGAGATTCAACTAGCATGCAAGATACCTATGGAACCAGCAAACAAAATTAATTTTCCAACTGCTCTTAGAACTATTCACAGCGCTCGGCTATTTATTCCATTTACAGATTCTAAATACGAGTTGCAATGGAGCATTTAATATGCCGGCATTATAAAAGGGAAACTGTTGACTGAACATGCACACTGCTATCCTGCTCTTAGTCCAAGAAGGTACTGGAATATATTGGAATACCAGCTCCAACAAAGCACGCTTCCCACGCGACCCCCAGAATGGGAAGCAACAACAGAAAAGCAATTTGTTCAAATGCTCGTGCAATACGCTGCGATAAGATTTTATTTTAACAGCAGTATGGAACAGTATGTATTATTTAGGTATTATATGAAAGGTTAAGCACGAATGCAAGCGCTTCTCCTGACGTACTGAAACACACGTGTGCCATTACTAGTGAGCATTTTGATTTAATGGGATTTAATAATCTGTTTAGATGAACTACTCCACGCTCAGATGATGCTGATGCTAACATTCTACTCTCAAGGAGCTTCAGACTTGTGACAATATTGCATTTTTTCCAGTTGTGATCAACTGATTTGTTTTTAATGCTAAGTATGTCTTGCCATCACTTGTGGTTTGAATATGTTTACTTAAACCAAAAATACTTTGCATCTCAATTATTATTTTATACTGCAGCACTGAATGGAACTTAACTCAATACATTATTCATAAGGCACAGACAGCAGAAAAAACAAAGCTGTGCACTTCTTTCAAAGCCGTCAAATTACTGAAACACACCATATTTATGCATGCAATATTTGATTGTGTGTGTGTCTTTTTTTTTTTTTTTGTCACAAGTTTGTTGATTTCAGATCAGGATATGCCAAAAAACCCTACACCAAACAATTTTTTGTTTATAATTAAGGTAATCATCAATCCAAGGATTGTAGTCCATTTTATTTCATCTCTACATCAAAAAAAAGTAATTTAAAAAAATTAAAATTCCCTTGAAATGGTAAGATAAATGAAAATGTAAGTGCCTTCACACAATAACAGTAAGCTGACCCTCTGGGAAATGGTTGACTTTCTCAATTCAAGGTATTCAAAGCTCATTCAAAAGTGTTCATTTGGAATGCAGATATCAAAGATGATGCAAATGTTCAAGAGAAAATTAAAACTTACCAGATGTTCTAATCCAGCTTTGATGTTTCCAGCATCCCTGCAACAGAAGAACAGAAGTCCTAAATAGTTGCTAAATCCTTGTCTGAAACAATTTATATTTAACTCTGAAAATGGCAAAGCCATGAAATTCCTTGATTATGTAAAATTTTTATTTTTAATATCTTAATCGTTAAAATACTTTTAGAGTATTGACCACCCAAATGCACAGCTACAGAATTATTTATAACCTCAAATTTTACCTGCCTTAAAACCGCAATAAACGTTAGCATAGCAATAGAACACTCACTTGAAGAAGCATTTTTAATATAATTACCCCACAACTTCATACTGAACTTAATAAAGCAAAACACTGCATAATGGTGTTTATGAAATCCACTCTCTGTGGCTTTACATTGGTTCTGCCTCATCACCGCTCCAACAGTACAACTGGAGACTGGTTAAAAGGCAGTGCAGTGCATGAACTGCACATTAACCAAGCAGGTTGTGGGAAGAAAAGACAGAGCTACCAATAAGAAAAAAAAAAGGGAATAAGAGAACTCAGAGCAAAACACAGCCCATGAAATATCTTGCCATTGCAGCGTTCATACAGCGTTCAGTGTAGTGCTATCCTGGAGCAGTAAAGCTCACAAGGTTACCTGCAACGACTCTGCTACTTGAAGAAGAGAGCATCCAAACCAAAGTAAAACAATAAAGATCCCCAGGCCACCAAGTGAAGGAAGCTGGTTCTGCTTTCATCGGCCCCAGGTGCCAAAAATGCTTCCAAAAATGTAATCATGTTGTTTGAGGAAAATGGGCCTTCAGCATGCCAAGCAAAGAGAAACTGCACCCAGAAGCACTTCAAAAAATCAGGTAATGAACTGCATGACCATAGAATGGTTTGAGTTGTAGTGTGCATTTATAATCCTTTTTTTTTTTTTCCTCCAACAAATCATTAAACTGCATCAAGCCACAGTAGCAAAAAGTCCAACTCTACTCCTCCACCAAAGCAATGCAAAGACTGACGCTTCCATTCCCTTCATGCAAGCTATGGGCTATAGAACACAAGGTGAAGTACAACAAAACGACTATAGAGCGTGAAGTTTTACTAAATTCAGAATATGTTCAGTTGCACATTATGCAGCTTAGCTGTACCTCAGACTTCTATATTAAGCTTTTATTTAAGAGTTCATAAAGCTTTCTAAAAAATGCACACACTTCCACTTTGTTGGAGAGCATATCACGAACAAAGCAACTGATACGCCTTACTTGCACTGTTATGCAGCATTTTGAAATGAGAATATACTATTTGAGTTTGCAAATACTTCAATAGGAATTGTCTTCAACATCCGTTGTGAGGTGCTAAATGGCCTTAAGGAAATTGCTTGGGAAGCAGGATCCAAGACGCTGATGTTAGGAGCTCCCCACTAATGGTATAAAGCCTGCCCTGTTAGTGGCCTGTCTCCTCTGCTGTCCCTGTCATGACTTCATCAATATTGGTACAACTCTTTTCGCTCTGTGCTGAAAGCAGACTTAATTCAATTATAGGTCTCAAAACTGATAAAAACGGTCCTGAAGTGGAAAATGCGAAGAGATTATTGGCAAATGAATAAAGATTTGTATCGAACTAACACGCAGGAGTACAGCAGGTTTGGGTTTTTTTCCTTTAATAATTCCCTGCCTTAAGTCTTCTGGGAACAGCGAGTTTCCCTTCCCCTCATGCAGCACATCGATTTCTGAATTAGACTGCAATATTAAATAATTAATATACTTGCCATGATTGATGTTTTGCATTAGTTGAATATTAGGTTATCAATCAAAATCCACTTGGTTTAATGTAATAATATTGAAAAAGTGTCACTGGCTGTTCATCCAATTTGTAGTTGAGGCAGCACAGATAGTAATATTGGTGTAACACACGGCTCTAACGCAGGAAATGCAGTGGCTGAACATCCATAAGGCAGACATTATCAAACAAACCAGGACAAGGTTGAGGCTGTCCTAAATAAACCCCGTGGCACCTGTCAGTTTCAATGAAGTGCTCCTTCTGCTGCCACGCAGCAGACAGCACGGACAACTAGTGAAGCCATGCATCGGTTGTTCTTTCTAGTTAAAAACAATTATCCAAACAAGATTCCTTTCAAATACCACGTTACACAAAATCACAACTGTTGCTACAGCTCAGCCGTGATGTGCTTCAAAGTTCAAATGAGCCTTCAACCTCCACTGAATACCTTAATCATCAATGACATAAAACACTACGAGTGAGTGGCAGTTGTTATGCACATCCAGTACTGCTGTACTCCTAGAAACACCAGAAGTTGCATCAATATAAATTATCTTGATCAGGTGAAGAAGTTTTGCTAAAAACTTCTATACCACACTACACAGCTCCCAAGAGAACAACTTGTTGCCTTTCAAACAGTCTCTCCACGCATTTCATCTGTTTCTCTGGTTTGTTAGGCAAACTTGGTTTAGACTCAAGTTTCCTTTTTCCCTACACAGAAGCTCTGGCACTGTGCTTCTGGGTCTGGGACAGAAAAGAGTTGGTGACGTAGATCACCATTCACACGTATGTATTTTAAAATCATACACCAAAACCGATAAGCACAATATTTGGGACAATCCAAACGTTAGCTTCTGGTAATCATGGAATCCTAGAATGGCCTGGGTTGAAAAGGACCACAGTGCTCACCCAGTTCCAACCCCCTGCTGTGTGCAGGTCGCCAACCAGCAGCCCAGGCTGCCCAGAGCCACATCCAGCCTGGCCTTGAATGCCTGCAGGGATGGGGCATCCACAGCCTCCTTGGGCAACCTGTGCCAGTGCCTCACCACCCTCTGGCTGAAAGTAACATCAAACAGAACAACACGAGGCACCTACAAGGCGGCAGGAATTCAATGAAGCAAGTGTAGCCAGCTTTTGGAGTACTAGAAGCTGTCATGTAGGTGACTGATGTTAACTTCTATGCATCATAACGTATTGTTACATTAACTTAATGTAACTAAAGTTCACTTATTAGCACTAGCACTTTTGCTAGTGAAGAAATCGAAATAAACTTACTTCAAATGAAAGTGAACATGTTCACATTCTTCAGTCCCCCTCATGTTACCAGCTCGTTACCAAGCTTTCCCTTGAATTGTAGTGAGCAAACTCTTTGCCAGTGCTTACTAAGCAGAACCCACACATCACAGAATAATTCCACAGTACCTCTGGATGCTGAAGGATCGTTCTGCTGTCCCAGATCACAGGACAGCTCGGGCTGAGGGCATGGTGGGCTCTGGGGCCAGGCCACCAGGCTTCATCCATTCATGGTCTGGAAGCACAGCCTGAGGAGGCAGCCCTACTACTCATAAAACATGCCCACCCAGAGGGCATACACCTTACACCTGGTCCCCAGCATCTCTTTCAGCCCATGCTGGCTGCTCTCTCCCCCCAGCTCTGACTCCCTCCCCCACAGCCCCTCCATCCCTCAGCACAGTGCCCTCCCAGCCCTCCTCTGGCTGCTGCCCCTCTCTCCTCGCAGGGATGGAGCTCCAGCCCCTCACCACCTTACTGCCCTCAGCTCCACTCTACGCAGTCCCAGATGTCTGATTTTGCTCCTCAGAGGACAAATGAATAAATAAAACATTTCATTGTTAGCAAGGCCCTTGGCAGCATGCCCTCTGGTTGCACAATATTAACTACAAACTATGAAGAACAGGGTCAGATGCAGCAGTTCAGGTCACGCAGCACCACACTCTCAAATAAAAGCCTTTGAATTCCACTCTGCAAACACCAGCATTTGGTGTTGATCGCACAGCACCGTCCTAAGTTGTCTCAGGTTTTCATGGAGCTCTCTCACGTTTGCCACTCCACTCACTGGACCACTCAACAAGCACATCCCATAGTGGTGAATGCTTTAGAACCCACTAAGGCAGATCCAGATATGGGATTTATTGCACAAACCATTATTAATAACTCAGGCTAGCATTGTTAGCAGTCCCGGTTCTGACTAAATTACAGCATTTGTGTAAAAACAGAAGCCAGCAAACAACCACAGCTGTTAACAGCTTCCCTTCTCTCTCAGAATATGGAAATCTCCCATCCAAAACTCAACCAGCAGCAAGATCATGTCTTTCAATGGCCAATATCTCATGGTTTCCCAGACCAGAGCTTGACATTGCATATATTGCCAGCAAAAAGAAAATTAGTTTTCCATGTATTCACTTCTACCCTTGGATATCCCAAGGCAGAGAGCAGGAAGAATGTAAGGAATAAGGTGCTGGGTTCGGGAAGGCATACCATGCTTTTGTGTGATTCCAGAAAGATAAGAGCCTGATGCAGGGGAAAAGCCTACTATCAGAAATAACCTGGATAAACACAGCGTTATGACATCTGCACACTGAGCAGTCAGCAGTTACTGCGTACTTGCAGTTCCACTCTCAGCTAGATGGAATTTCACTGTCAGAGCTGCAGAGTCCCAGATGTAGCTTTTAGGAATGGACAACCCCATCGTATCGCACCAAACTTTATAGCTTCAGTATTGTTGTGTTTTCTGTAAAATTATAGGCAATGTTTCCAAGTCTGACTGCAGACCACAGAGACTAATTTCAGCACGCTTTGGGAGAAGCAACAAAGATGACATAGAAATCCAAGCTGTGCCTGTTCTCTCCTTCAAACCACCTACAAGAGGACAGTGCTGACTCTCCCAGCAGAACAGGTAAATCCAGACCTACTGACTTCTGATGGCAAGCTGTCCAACACAGCACCAGAGGTCCGGCAGAACTGCCTGTAAAGGCTGTGCAGTGTGCAGGAACAGAACTCCAACAAACGCCTTGCTCTTCAACATGACCTGTTAACATTCTCTGGGTTGTAAATAAAATCAGTCAGCAGTAAAGAAAGTGTACTTTTCTTTTGTGAAGAAAAGTGCAGTTTATATGTTTTGTAGCTAAGTGAAAATTACATCAAAGAGAGCCTACAAAAGGCAAGAGGGGAAAGCCATGAAAGGAAGCTATTTCCTCTTTCTTCTTACGTAAGGATGGAGGAAAAGAAACCTGAGTTTAGGAACTAACACAGGCACT